AAAACAGCTGCTCAGGGGGGAAAACAGCTGGTCAGGGGGGAAACAGCTGGTCAGGGGGGAAAGCCTAACCCCAACAGCCCTCCTGTGACATTTCCAGGCGGTGCCACCCGGGTGTGCCAAGGTCCCCTCGGCTTACCCGAGCCCCCCTCGCCACGGGAGGGTGGCCCAGCACCTGCTCTCCCAGCCTGTCCCAAATTCCCCCCAAATCCTTCGGGAGTCGAGTCCCGTCTCCCTCTAAAGCCCAGAGCTGAGGCGGAGTCCAGGGGAGAGTCCCCAAGGAAAGGGAAAGGCACACGAGCTGGAAGTGATGGAAACATCAGCCGAGCACGGTGCTGTAAAGAACAGAGGCGCCTAAAAGCGGTTGTTAAAAACAAGGAAACCTCATAAAAGCTTTGGCTTTTGACTCCGAAATGTTGACTTGCAATTCACCTTCATGCGCTGCAAATTTGGCTTTAAATCAGATCGAGAAAGGGGAAATAATCATAAAGGCAACCCAAACATTCCTTTGAACTTGACCCAGCGGTGCAAAACACACACGGAGAGAAGGCACCTTTCAAAGGACTCCAAACACTAACAGACCCACACGCGATTAAACATGTTTTTTCTTTTTTAATTTAATTCGAAATAAGAGATAAGAAATAATAAATCTTCAATAAAATATATAAAATTGTACAAGGCATCCCTTTCAAAGGGATTCTCCTATAATGGGAGATCGGGGGTGAGGGGAAGGGAGAGAGGAAGTTCATCTATAGTGGGTCCCAGGCACTATCAATGCCTGGGTCAAAATAAACCAAAACCAGCAAAACCTCGTGGCTTTCTATTTTTTCTTTCCATTTTTTTTTTCTGATTTTTTTTTTTTTTTTTTCATATCTTTCCTCCACAACAGCATGCTAAGAAAATAAATCCAGGAGAAGCTCTGACTTCAGTGCTCCACAGCCTTGGGAGTAACTTCCTCATAAAGTTTAGCAAGAGTAATACAAATAATACAAGAGTTACAAGGAGAAGCCTGGGGAAGCTGCTGCCAGAGCTCCCACGGGGACAGGCAGGTCACACAGTCTCTATCACCTCTCTGTCCTGCTCGTGGGGCTGGTTGTGACACCCGGATCTCTCTTTAGAAGGGCTTAAAGCACGACTCACTTCTATTGGCATCCTTAGAATGGAAGATAACTCAGGGGTCTCTTCTCTTTAACACAGGCTGTGGCAAATAGAAATAATAAAAACCCTACAACATCCCCCAGAAGGATGTAACAATCCTTTATGGGAACAACCCACGTCTTTCTCCCCTTTCTCCTGCTTTTCCAAGAGCATTGCAGAGCCAAGATTACCTGGCTGCAGCCAAAAATTTCTAAGCATGCCAATAGGAAGAGATAAAGACCAGCCTGCCTAAAAACCCTCCCTTGCTCTTCACCTCCCCTGCCAGTGCTTTACAAAGGCTGAAGCTATTTATACACAGAAAGGCATTACAGGAGCCACGCTGGGGAAAGCTGGGCTCTACATTTCGGGGCCCTGCTGCTCATCTCGCCGAGGTTCGGGATCCAAAACTTTGCCCTCCCCCCAGAAATGCAGGAATTTGCTGGCTCTGAACTTCACTGAGACTCTACCGGCTCTAGTTTCTATTTACACGTCTCTAGCTACGGGCTCTGCTGTCTTTAAAAAAACAACCGAACAACAAAACTTCGATTAGACCTTTTTATTTCCCTCCCCCCTGCCCCCACGTGGAGCGATGGTAACTTAGAGCGTGGCTCGAGGGCACTCACCCCTCTTATTTTCTTATTTTAAACCCGTGTTGGACCCCACCAGGAAGGTTTCAGGGAATTTCTGCCCCTGTAAAATAACTTTGCTTTTTTACCCACTCTTTTTAAACCTACTTGCACTGGATAAAATCCCTACATTTACTCACAACATTTTTTTTTGTTGGTTTTTGTGCCTTTTTTTTTTTTTAATTTTTTTTTTTCTATTTTTCTTTCTTTTTTTTTTTAATTTTTTTTTTTGCTTTTTTTTTTTGCTTTGAGGAGCAGACTCTGAGCGCTCAGAGCACTCTCAGGAGACTCCCAACCCGTAGCAAACTCCCAGACAACTCAGGATGCCAGATAGAAGCGTGCAGAAGGAATGGCCAGCACTGGTTGGGGTTCTGCCTTCTCAGGGCTGGACAGGATCCACCAGGAAGTCTGTCTGTCTGTCTGTCTGAGCTTTGTCTGTCAGATCTTCTTAGGATAAGTGGTACATGCTGTATCCAACGGGAGTGGCGTAGAGTCCAACGGGCGGGATGGGAAGCACAGGTCTGTGAAAAGGGTAGGATGTGCCATACAGGGAGGCAGCCTGGATGGGGGAGTTGATGGGGAAAGGGAGGCTGAACCCCGACGGCAACATTGGCTTCGCTGCCATTTTCAGCTTCTCCAGCTCGGCCTCCTGCAGTCTCTTGGCCTTGGCCCTCCGATTCTGGAACCAGATTTTGACCTGGGTCTCTGTGAGGTTGAGGGAGCTGGAGAACTCGGCTCTCTCGGCGATGGACAGGTACTGCTTCTGGCGGAACTTGCGCTCCAGGGCCAGCAGCTGGGAAGTGGTGAACGGCGTGCGGGGCTTCCTGTTGGTCTTGTGCTTCCTCAGGGTGCAGGCAGTGGGGCTCAGGTGTCCTGCAGGGAAGGGACAGGGGTTAGCACAGCAGCAGGGACACCCCCGAGCTCTGCTGGGTGTCCCAAGCATCCCGCCACAAACACTGGAAATTTTTTCCTGCCCAAACTGAAATTCGCAGCGCTTCAGCTGATGGAAGGGAAATCTTGCCTCAGCGATTTCCAAAGGGACAGAGAATTCACAGGTCGCTTTGGGAGTCACTTCACAGGGGTGAAGAGCACACAGAACAACTGCCTGGGCTGAGCACAGCTCCAGGAAAGCACAAACGCCACAAAAGCAGGAGATGCCCAAAAGGACAGTGAGGCAAGAGGAGAGCCCAGCCCTGCTCCAGGATTTTCCCACTAAGCACAACAAGTGACAGCTGAAGAAGGTCTGACAGTTTTTGTGGTCTCGCTAACTGGACCTTTTTTCTTGCTATTTTTTTTTTTTTCAAATCAAATTTTTCCTCTGATTATTAATTTTTGGTTTCAGTAGGTGTTTTCTGATTATCAACCAGTATAAAAACCCAACAAGCTCAAAAAAGAAAGCAGTGCTCTTTTAATTCAACATTCAACTTTTATAACATCTGCCAATTAAAAAAGAAACCAAAACCCAGACAAAACTTCAGCATTTTGTAGCCAATAAAAGCCAAAAAACCCACCACCTTTTGTGCCTGCCTTAAACCCCAGCCAGATTAGGCAATATTCCCGGGACGGCAGAGAGCTGACTTGCCTTTAGATTAATTTAGCACTTCACTAATAATTCTGCAATCTAAAGAATAACTAAAAAAGCAGGCAGCTGACTTCAAAAGCTCGGTAATTAGGCTGTGATTTGCTCACTCCCGAGGCACAGGACAAGTCACCCTGGCTGGACACAGCAAGTGACAGCCAGGCTGCTGAATTTGGTTCACACTGAGGTGTCTGCTTCAAGTGCTTGTCAGGATTTGCACTTTGGGTTTTCTGTACTCGTTTCGTTTTTCTCTTTTATTTTTTTTTTAATAAGCCAGACTAAGAAGCTGCTTAAGCATGTATCATGCAATTAAAAAAAAAATTCCACGAGGGAATTGTTCTAAAGTTCAGAAAGGGGAGGGAGAAAACACAGCAGAAAAAGTTTAACTTGTCTTATTGCTCTTCCTCTAGAATACAAAATACTGAAAGCAACAACAAAATAAAGCTCTTCTAGGAAACAACGTTTCAAATACTGGCCTGTGATCCCACCAGGGCATTTTAATAATTTAGGTGCTCACCGTGCCAGCTGATTCACTTCTAAAACTGCACTGAATTAAAACTACAGCAAACCCACCCTGACTGCTGCCGCTCCCCGCGTTGTTCCGAGCTAGTTTCAAACGCAGCTCCTTTCTCTTCCCAAAGCGAAGGGCTGGGGCGGGTTTTGGGGTGCCCGTGCCCGCTGTGCCAGCGCCCTGCCCGGCTCGGGGGTGAGCCCGACCCGCCCGGCTCCAGCTGCGCGCCGAACAGCAACGCGCTTTTCCATGAAATCCCGGGAAATATCCCGGGAAATCCCGGGAAATATCCCGGGAAATATCCCGTGAAATATCCCATGAAATGCCGGGAAATATCCCGGGAAATCCCGGGAAATATCCCGGGAAATATCCCATGAAATGCCGGGAAATATCCCGTGAAATCCCGGGAAATATTCCCTCCAGGAATTCCCAGGCTCCTTCCCTGCCGCCCCCCGAGGAGCAGCAGCGACCGCAGCCCCCAAAATCGCGTTTATCCCAGTCCCCAAACTGATTCGTTTCCCCTCACTCATTTGTTTCGCTGGTTTTTCTTTTTATTCTCCTTTTCCTGGCAAATATCGGACAAAAAAACATCATTTGGAGAAGGTTCCCTCTCCGTGTTCCTCAAAATTCGAACTTTTAAAGCTTTTCCCACAGCTCATCCCACCTGTAATATTAATATTAATAATAACAATAAATCGAGGGGCTGTTTTTAATGCCAAAACTCCCCTGGACAGGAGGTTTTCCTGCGGGAGAATCGGTCATTGCCTCCTGCCGAGGTGGGAAAGGAGGAAAATGGTCGAGGCCGAAGGACCTTCCCCTCCTGATCCTCGGTTTTCTCCCCAAATCCCTCTGAACTCACGGGAAGTTCCCGCTACCGGAGTCCTCTACAAAACTCTTTTGCCGATCCCGAGAACAAACAATTTTTAAAGAGAAAAAGGAGGAATTTCGAAGGGGAAAAAATATAGAGGGAGATTATTAGGCCGTGTCTAAGTCTGGGGTTTTGGGCAGATTTAGAGAAGGAGTCCAAGTAGGGGCACACGCTTTTTTCCATGTTTTTTCCAGCACATTTGGGGGTACAGGAAAATTAAAAACTGGAGCTACACAGGGAATGCCTTCCTCCTGCCCTCTCCCAGCAGGATAGAAATCAAATTAAATCGGCGTTATCATAAAAGAAAGGAAATGGATGAAAGCCAAATCGAAATTATTGTTAAAGAAAAAGAAAAAAAAAAAAAGGGAAAACTGTAACAACACTAAACTTTCGCAATATTAGACTGAGGAGTAAGTTCCTTGAGACAGTTCACGCCTGTAAAGTCTCTAACTTTCAACAAAGCAGAGTATTTAACTCCCACCACAAAGTTTGGGATGCGCGGAGGAGAGCGGACAAACCCTGACACAGGTGTGCGGCCACGGCGAGGCACGGCCGGGCTGCTCCTTCCCCTTCTCCTCAAGGATCTCTGGGGGCTTTTAATTATTAAAAAGCAAATTTTCCCCGTTTTTTAAAATTATTTTTTAAAATTTTATTTTAAGAAGGGTTCGCCCCGAAAGCGAAAGGCGGCTCGGGCTGCCAGGGGGTTTCAGAAGGGACCTGTCACCTCCGCACCGAGCGTCCCCAAGGCGGGGGACGGCGTCGGGAGGGATCGGGGGGACCAAGGGGGTCAGGAACACTTCGGGAAACTCTGACAGGCTCCGGCAGCAGCGATGGAGGGACAAACCCCGCGCCGGGAGCCAGCCCAAGGCTGGAAGGGACAATTCCCGAGTGTAAGAGATGGCAGCGCACCGCGGGTGGGAGAAAGGCACAGGGAGAAAATTGCAGCTGTTGTCGCAACGGGGTAACATAAATGGACGAAGCGGCTGCCAGGGGGCCGTGAGCTGCTCCCTGGTGATTCCTGATCTTTCTAAGGCTTTGGAAGCGGTCTACATTCATATACAGCCGTGTAGTCGTGTCTAGAAATATTTAACTCTAGAAAAGCATAATAATATAAATATATAATGGAAATATGTGATAGGTAACAGATGGGTATGTGACACACATATGAATACCTACAAAAGCACAGCGGAATCGCAGAATGTTTTAGGTTGGAAAGGACCTTAAAATCACCTCCTTCCATCGACAGCGACACAGCTCAGAGCCCCCATCCGAGCGGGCCTGGAGCCCTGGGACGGGAATTTAGGATAAAACCACAGCATGCACGCGTGTGCATCCCCGCTGCAGCGCATCCCTCCCCCCGAGCACTCACTTGGCGGCGGGGAATATCTCCCGGCCTCCGAGGGGATCCAGGACGAGCCGTCCTCCGAGTTCTCCGACTTGACCGAGGCGGTGTCGAAGGTCTTTGTAAGCGGCCCGGGCGGGCTGTGCGCCTCCCGGGAGCCGTGTCCCGCCAGCAGCAGGTTCCTGGAGGTGCCCACGGCCGCGCCATCGCCGGCCGCGGGCAGCGGCGGCTCCTTGGGGGGCGGCTTCTTGTCGGACATGAGCGCTTCCACGCTGAACGGCAGGCTCGACACCTTGACTTTGCGGTGCTCCTCGGCGCCGGCCGCCGCGCCCTCCTCGTCGGAGGAGAAGGCGTCCTTGGCTTTGTGCGGGGAGGCCATGGCGGTGCGGCGGGGCTGGCGCTGCCCGGCGAGTGCGGCCAGCGGGCCCGGCCGCCCCCCTTTTCCCCCTCAGCGGCTGCCCGCCGCTGTCCTCCCTGCGCGAGCGGGGGAGCCGCCCCGCCGCCCAATCAGCGCCCGCCCTGCCGCGTGACGCGCCGAGCGCCCGCCTCCCATTGGCTGAGCCGGCGCAGGGGGGCGGGACCAGCCGGCGCCGCTCGCGGGGAGTTCCCGCGCCGCCCCAGTCCCCTCCCCGGTCCCAATTAATGACACGGGGTTAATGACACCCGAGGAGCCGTGCAGGGCTGTAATCACAGCAAAGCCAGGGGGGGAAAAAATAAAAAAAACCCGCCGCGGTAATTAAGGCTGATGATGAGGCGAAGAGGGAACATCAGAGGAACGCGGCTCTGCCACCCCCACCTCAAACTCCCCCCCCCTCCATCTTCCTCTACGACGGCTCGGCTCATCCCGGGGCACCCCGGGATCATCCTGGCACCCCCAGGCTCATCCCGGCACCCCCGGGCTCATCCCGGCACCCCCGAGCTCATCCCGGCATCCCCGGGCTGATCCCGGCACCCCCGGGCTCATCCCGGCACCCCCAGGCTCATCCCGGAATCCCCGGTCTCATCCCGGCACCCCCAGGCTCATCCCGGCACCCCCAGGCTCATCCCGGAATCCCCGGTCTCATCCCGGCACCCCCGGGCTCATCCCGGCACCCCCGGGCTCATCCCGGAATCCCCGGGCTCATCCCGGAATCCCCGGGCTCATCCCGGCACCCCCGAGCTCATCCCGGCACCCCCGGGCTCATCCCGGTCCCCCGCCCCACTGACTCTCCCGGAGCGGGGTCTGTCCGTCCCTTCCCTCCATCTCCCCCCAAAACGAGTCCCTTTCCCGGAGGAGCGGGGTCTGGGGATGCGGGATTCGGGATGTGGGATTCGGGATGTGGGATTCGGGATGCGGGATTCGGGATGCGGGATTCGGGATGTGGGATTCGGGATGTGAGATTTGGGATGCGGGGTGCAGAGCCCCGGAGAAACGAGCGCCGCTGTTTTTTTCATCCCAATTTTTTTGTCTTGTTTGCATTTCCACGGCAGCAGGACCCAAGTCGGGCAAAACCACTCTGCAGAGTTTAGATCTGTAATTATTATTTTTTTTCAGCGTCAATTATACACGTGATGAAAAGATGAGCTTTAATAAATTAGGAGCACGCAGCCCTTAATTAAAAGTCCTATCAAACCAGTACTATGAAAGCGATTCTCTCACTTTTTGACTTCCTACCAGTGGTATGAATAAAGAGTGTCCTTTAAAAAGCTTTTATAATTACAGCACGGATAAAAGCGAATACATATTGTTCTTTTCATAATTATTTTAATATTGCGCCGGGCGTTATTTCATGCTGTGCCCGCAACTTTCTCAGGTGTTTAGTATGTTTGTTTTTGTTGGTTTTTTTTTTCTTTTGTTTTTAACGTCCAGGGTGCGCAGGATTTGGGAGCTGTTTTGGTGTTACAATTTATAAGTGAGGGCCAGTTTTAGAGCCACTAAAAATCACTGAGAAGACGACGAGCACAACTCCTCTCCCCAAACCCCCGAATTCAGGGGCAGCTCGAAGCTGCGGGCTGGGTCCTGCACGGCTGCAGGGCTCTGACCACGAACGTTCGGATATATCCCTTCCATAAAACGCGGAGGGTTTAACCACCTTTTGCTCCGTTTGAACACCTGATTTCCCTGCCAGCTCATGGAGCAGGTTTGGAAGTCCCCAGCCCTGCAAATTGCGAGTTCCCAGCCCGAGGATGGGGTGTAGGGAGCGCCCTGTGCTGGGGGCCCTGCTCTGTCCCAAAGCCAAGGGGATTCAAAGGATGCTGAATGAGTTATCCCCTTCTTTCTCCCACCCATATTTCATGTACATATCAGACAAATCTCTCTTTTTCAGGGCCCAGGGGTGCTCCCGACCCTTTACGACCCTGCTCATCCCTCCCCACTGCTCAGCCCCAAACACCGAGCGGCCCCAGCCCTGATAAGATCGCGCCTGGTGCCAGGGAGAGCAAATTGGGACCGGGGCACGGGATTGCCGTGTACGAGGAGCCAGCGTTACAAAACGCCGCTCATCAGCGGCACTAATAGCAGGGTTTGCACACTCGCCGCTGATGGCTGGCAGTGTTACTGCGCACCTCGATGGGTTAAGGATTAAAGATCTGCCAAGAGAAGCGATGCTTTCCTCTGCCTCAGTCCGGCCGGCCCGGCTGCAACATTTCAGCCGGCAGAGCCCCGATCTGGGCTGTTCTTCGAGGTTGAAAATAATGCCACTGATACCTCTCCAGCTGCTCTTGCTACCTCCAGTTTGTCACTTCTCCTTCCCCACAAAATCCATCTCTTTGCTGGGAGACACTCACAGAGAGAGCAGCCAGGCAGCCCCGGCCTTGCAAAGTGCAAAGCTCAGCTGCTGCGGTGGGGTTGAGTTTGTCCCTCTTCTCCCCCCCTTTCCTTTCCCTTCTCCATGCTTCCTGCACCGTGACAAGTAAATGAGAATGGATGGACACGCAGGAACAATGCCGGTGTGCCGGGGACAATGCAGCGCCCGTGGAAAGCTATTGTGGGGCTGCTGAAAACGCCGCAGATAATGACACCGCGCCCCCAAAGGCGATGCCCGCTGGAAGGGCGCCCGGGCACCGGCAGCTCGGGGTCACGGTGACACCGAGCGCGTCCCTTGGGTGCAGCTTCTCTCCCCAGGTGCCCGGTTGTGGCTCGGGTGTGCAAGCTCCGTCCCCCTGGGTTTGGAGAGGCTCCGCTGCGCTGCCATCCCTCGGGAGACCGGGGGGAAAAATGGGACCAAGGGACAAGCGGCTGTCGTGCTGTGAAGCACTGAGCGGAGGTTGGCTCATCCAGCCTGGTTTGGATGAATTTTGGGTACCCCAGGGGCGCCTGGAGAGCAAAGCATGGCACGGTGTTTTCCCTCTTCAGCCTCAGTCCATCGCCAAATTGGAGCATTTTCTGTCTAAAGGCTGAATGTAGAGATTTCTCTTCTCTCTCACCGCTCCCCTCCTTCATCCTCCTGCTGTCAGACAAACATCAGAGGCTGAAGCCGCACACGGTACCGAATGTCCGCACGGAAACCTCGCCGAGACGGGGTTTGGAGAGAGACATTTTTAGGAATGAAAGCTTTGCCCCCTATCCAGGATCCCAGAGCGGCTGCCCAGCCTCAGACTAGCAGGGAATTCTCCCGGCCCGAGGAAAGGACGTGAATCCGGGGGCTTTAATCCCGGGTTTTCCCCTGCCGGGCTCCCCTTTGCGTCCCCGCTGGGACCCCAGGCGCGGGGCGGGCGGTCCCCGGGGCTTGGCCGGGACTGGGCCGGGTTCTTGGGATGCCCAAAAAGCCCCCAGCCCCCCGTGACCCTCTGCCTCTCCCCCGGCTTCCCGCAGCATCAGCCCCGTGAGCCGGGGCGGGCTCCGGGCGCCCCGGTCCTGGGGCTCTCAGCTGGAGCGGGGCGGGGAGGGAGGGAGCGCAGGGGGAAGAGAGACGCTGCAGACAAACTGAGGCTGTTTCGCAGGCGCCAGGAGCGGGGAGATGAAAGGGAAGCTCCTGGGGGAAGTGGCTGTGCAGTTTGACCGGCTCCAGCAGCAACAACAGCAGCAGCAGCAGCAGCAACAGCAGCAGCAGCGACGGCCCGTCCCGGCCAGCTCCGCCTCCCCCTCCGCCTCCCCCTCTGCCTCCCCCGGGCTCCAGGCTGCCCCTGAGCCCACCTCCGCCTCGCTTTTCCCAGCCTGGAGGCGGAGGGAGGTGTCGGGCGGGCACATCTGCCCGCAGCATCCTCGCTCCTGTATCCATCAAGCCGGGAGCAGCATCCCCGCCACGGAATTCCACAGCATCGCTGGGCTGGGATAACCGGGGATGGTGGGTTTGGGGGAGGGGGCTGTCCAACACCCCCCTCCGTGCCCTTATCGGTGTAAATCAGGAGGGAACTCACTGGGATCATTGCACGAGCCATGTCCCGTGTCCCCAGTCCCCGTTAAGCACCGGCCCCTGTCCCTCACAGACACCTCGGGAGGACAAAACGCCCGCGGGCAGCGGGGAGCGAGTTTATTCTCTGCGAGGGAAAACCTCACGAGCATTTCCCCTGCTTTTATGATCGATTTGGTTAATAATCCGTGTTCTAGAGACAGGAAGGGGTTTTTTTTAACGACCCGCGAGGCTGGCGTGTGGACATCCTTCAGGGAAGGAAGATAAGACTCCCGATTTGACGGAAAAAGCAAGGCAGGGACATGGAATCAGAGTGCGCATCCAGTGTAAGTTTTGCCCCGAAACGAGGTGTACGCCGAGGGAATGTTTGATGTGTCAGAGGCTGGGAGATTAAGGTTTCATCGCCTTGCCCCAGATGAGACCCGGAGCCAAGAGAAAGGCGTTGCGTTAACAGTAACACGCGTTTATCTCCAGACGCGAGAAAGGAATTAAAGCGAGCTGAAGATCAGAACTTCCGAGGGATCAGGGCTGCTTAGCGACGCCTCGATCGAGATCCACCTCTGCATTCCCGAAGCCGTTTTGGCTGAGAGCTCCGAGCGGCGTGCGAGGGGACCGAGCACCCCCCGAGCATCCTCCGGGCAGGGCGGGGGCTCCGTGCCGCTCCCGGGGGAGGTGGGAGCGATGGAGCCGAGCTGCACCGGCTGCAACCACGAGTTCTAATTGTCCCCTGTGTCACCCGGCAATGGTCCCCGGTGACCGCAGCGGTGCCGGGACAGGGAGCGGTGCCGCTCGCCGGGACAGGGAGCGCACGGCGAACCGCGCTGGTTGCACAACTCCTGTCGCACCCGGCCAGGGTTTGATTTACCAGCAGATATTTAACCTGCTTGGAAGAGACAGGGGATAGCTGGAAGAGATCTGATGTCTTCCTGCTCAAAGCAATTAACAGTTTTGCCCTTAAGGATTGAAAAAAAAATATATATATATACATATATTTTTTTTTACCCCCAAGGTAATGGCTTTTTAAATAAACACAAGGGAGGAAAGCGCTGGTAGAGAGGTTAAA